TACTACTATCCTAATTGTTAGAGCACTGTGGCCAGGCTGTAGAGCCAGTAGATGCATTAATATTTCTCACCTAAAACTTTGTTTTCCAGAGTCCAGGAGATAACCCAGTGAATACTGTTTGAAAATTTTGGGGTTTTCATATGACCTACAAACAGTTCTTACTCCTTGGGATGTGTGGAAATTTAGTATTTTTCTCAGCTGAAAATTGCTTTGCTTTTGGTGTTGCAATATTTAGATACTTCACACACGTTAGTAGTAGTTGTGTATCAAGAGTTGATTTGAGTCATGAGGCAGAGTGGTGTGAAGTAATTATCTATTCTTTGCTATGAGTAATCTGAACTAAAACAGGATGAAATCTGAACATGTCAAAATAACATTTGTTGCTTTATTAAAGAATTAAAATATTACAGGGGTAATCTAATATATTAAAAACCCTACTTTCAGTTATATACAACACATGCTACATGACACGTCAGTTTAATGCACATACTGTTGTAAAGAAGTGATGAGGTAATAAGGGAAAAAGTGTGCAAGCACACGCACACAAACGCGTAATCAGTATCTTACAGGCTTACTGAAAAATCTATTGAATTTCTAGAGGCTTTTGCTCTCCCTTTTATATGCGTTCTTTAACTTATATTATTCATCATAGTAGTTGCTGTTTTGAAATGGGTGTTACAACAATCTGTTCTAGAAACGTACCTCAGAAGAATATTAGAATTATCCCAGTCAGTATTTCATAGTTGTGACTGACCTCTAAATATAGATGAGTAAATCTATTTAGTAATTTGACAGTAATATGTTATAATTGTGAAATATGGTAAATATAACTTCTCTTGGCTACAGGTAACTTCTTTAAATAATTTTCATCTACTGGATAAGGATATTAAATAGGTTATGTATTGGTATCCATCATTTGCCTGCAAAGTTGGATAGTCCCTTTAATTTATATCCAGCCATTTCTAATTACAGAGGCTACACAGCAGGTAATGACTGAAGTCAGGTACAAAATACTGTGACAGTTGTGTAGTATAACATGTTGGCTATACAGCACATTATATCTGTTGTAAATCTGGTTTAATTTCCATATGCAGTAGCTACTTCATTTTGGTAAGAAAAATCATTAGTGTTTTTAATCTAAAATATTTGAATCAACTGTGAATTCTGATTCATAGGAGCAGATTATTAAAATGCTCAAAGTGAAGGGGAAAGACTGGATTTATCACAACAGTAATGGTTTGAGTATCTGCTCTCAAAATCAAATTATATAGTACTAACTTTATTCATGGCAGTTAACAAAGATTAAATTAGAATAATCACACTAATGTACATATACCAGCTACACAGTTCAAAGGATATGATTTCCTGTGTCAAATGATTGCTCATAATAATAATAAAACTCTTGCTGTACAGTTTGTAATATTTCCTGTATTTGAGAATATTTATACATAATATAACATACAAAAATATTTAAATGTTGTGGCAGTATTTTTACCATCCAAATTTAATTTACAGGGAATAAAAACCAGAAAGTTTATCTACAGTCCATCTAAACTGCCAGTTCTAAAAGGCTTAATATAACTACTTTTAGTACCAAGAGGTGTTCTGAATGTTATGTCATTTCAGTTCCTTTTTTTCTTCAGCTTTTTTTCCTGGAATGATTCTTGAAAATACAATATACAAGCCCTCACATCTTAGCAATAAATGTACAATATCTTACATTCCTCATTTCTGAAAAGATAATTCCAGATAATAACATCATAGCTTTACATGATTTTTAGAACAAGAAAGCAAACCAAGAGAAGAATTATTTCAGTGGAATGTGTTGGGATTAGGTCTTATCATCATAACAACTTTCTTTAGTGAATATGATCCCCCGCGGAATTCAGCCCAGTAAACACCATCCTGATATCGACTACGGTAGTGTCCTCCACGATACCAAACTCCATTGAGATTTGAATGAGCACATGCATTGTACCACCATCCTCCCTTCTGGTAATGAGCACAATTACCTGCAAAAGAAAGCTCTGATTCAGTCTTAGGAGCAAATGAAAAAATCTAACAGCAAGCAAGCAAGCAAAGCACAAAAATTTTTTTTTTTTTTTTTTTTCCCGGTAACTGTGTATTTAACATGTAGATACCATGTGGTACAAGGTGAATTTAGGGTTCTTCGGGAACCAGCTCTGTAGTTAGGTTCTACAGACAGACTCATCAGTGTTACTCTCCCTTGCTGGAAAATTTGTTTGCATTACTGTCTCAAATAACCCTCCATAGCATATTTTACAGACCCTTGTTTAGTGTAAAAGATAAATATTTCAATGAGAATTTTTGGTTCAGTGTTAGTACGTATAAGGGTTGACACATCAGTTTGTGCTTTGTAAGTTACTAATTGACAAATCTCTAAAAATGTAATTTCTTTTTTTGTGTGTATGTGTATCGCCATAAATATTTTTACTTTTTAAAAAAAGAAGGAAAAAAAAAGGCGGGGGGGAGGGCAAAAAAAGCAAGGCAACTGAAGGGGGCCTTGTACCTGTGTATACATCATGGTCCCGGTCCAGTGTGGTGAACTGTTTACCATTGTGCCAAGTGAAAGAATCTCCCGCATTGCCATTGTAGCGTCCCAACCTCAACTTGTAATACTCGCTTTCTGGCTCCAATCTGAAGCTAGCATACTCAGCAAATACTTTTCGACCTGACCAGTCTTCCATTGTTATGAGCAGTTTGTAGTTGCCTTGATTTGTTAACCAATAAATATTTTCTAATCCGAGCCAGTATTCTCCATCTATATTACCAAATCCTTGCTGTAAAGGAAGCAAGAGAAGCATGTTAATATTGTGCATCTGTTTTAGTGGTAAATCTGAGTGTATTCTTAAGTAGAGAACCACAGTAACTTATTTTATAGAGACTTCCTCTTCTGGAAGGGTAAACACACAAGTTCCTTTTCAAGTAAGCTGTTGGCCAGACTCTAAAATCACCCTTTAAATTAACTTTACTGATAATTTTTAGAAGGTAGAAAACATTAAACTGCTCACTTGTCCTGACCTTGTATGTCTCCCAGTTCCTGAAAAAGTTGACAGACCCATCCAGCCGTCTCTGAATGACTGTCCAGCCACCAGGGTCATGCCGTTGATCACACCAGACCTGCATGAGCCGGTTTGTGTTTTCTGGTTTTACAAGATAGATGGAGCTTGTATCGTGGCCATCTTCTAATGCTTGTAGACAGTCTCTCCAGGGCCCTGTGTCAAAACAGAAGGACTCTGCATCAAAATGCAATTGAGCATATCTTTAACGCAGGGTGGTATTTGAATTGGTAGCTTTTTACAGTAGATTTGCTTCTGCTGAGTAGTACGTTTGTTTTTCCTCTTATTGAAGGTACAATGTCCACTAAGTGTTTTCAAAGAGATTCATTTGTTGTAACTTTATTTCTGGAACATTTCACAATTAATTTTACTGATAAAGGTAGATTGTTTGTTTGTTTATTTTATTTAAGGCAACTGCACTTACAACATTGATATCTTCAAAGAAACTAAATATGAATGACTCCATAGATAAGTATTAATAATTTGCTTTAGAAAACAAAACAGTAAGTTTGAGTTTTTTCTGTCTTTGAGAAATTCAGCTTTTTAGGTCACCAAAAATATCATTGGCACAGATATTAACAATGGAACCAGCAACACAAATTAAGAATGTAGGTGTTACTGTTGTCACCTTAATAAATGACAACACTAAAAAGAAATTAAGATTTGTAATACAGAGTGCCCATTTATATAGTCAGAGAAATTGTAGATAAATGAGAAGGCTTTTAAAATACTTTGCATTAACAGAAATTACAGATAATGCTCTCCTGTTTTCAAAAGGAGAATGCATTTTTTTCCTTGAGTTTAGTAGAGTCCATAAAGAGCTTATTCTTTTTGAAAGTATCTTGCATTCATGATTTTTAAAGAAATTTTCTCCGAAGAAAGATAGTTAGATTCCATTGTAATGAGTCTGAGAAATTTAGATATAAACGATTTAGGAGTCTGTGTTGATAGCTGCAGACACACTCCCCCAGCTGCTTTGCTGCTATCCTCATGTCACCTAAGCGGGAGAGTGAAGTCAACAAGAATCCTCAGGATTACAGACCCTTGATTCATTTCCCCTGCCTTCCCCCCCGCCACTGAAGGAGGAAGGCTTGTCAGATCTTCTCATGAGGAGTCTTACTGAAGCATATGTTGCTATCAAGAGTAATTTCTCTTTTAAATTATTTCAGTTAATCTACCCTTTTTCGTAATTCACTGTCCAACACTGGTAATGGTAGAGCTACCCTTGTACTCAGTAAATGAGTTAGTAATAAATTAGTTTTATAGAAGCAACCTCAGTGTTTTGGGGGGTTGGGTTTTTTTTGGTCTTTTTAACTAGTTAATCAAGAAGTCAGTATACCAGGAGGCAATCCAAGTTTTTGGTCTATGGCTACATGTTGTTCTTGTTTCCTTAGTGATATTCACTGACTGTACCTAGAATGTTGCTTCTAAGCCCCTTCTCCATTTCTGTTGTGGCTAACTGTTCAGATTTCTGGCAATTTAGATGTAGATGCAGTATTCTGTGATGGAGTTGCATGGCTTATTATGAGAGGTGGAAGAAAACAAATGTAATGAATGCTGGTAATTTAAATTGCTCTTGTTTATTTTATCACAATATGTACATAGTGGCACTTACTAAAAACAAAAAAGAACATGTCAGTTCAAGGTCATTATTGAAGAAACTGCTAAAGTAGTCAACCACAGATCTTTGATCTTCTCTTCATATAAATAAATATATAGCACTATATGATGTAGTATTTACAGCTTTCTAACCTTGCATTTTCTTTCTAGGCCACGTGGCAACAGTGCTCTACTGCAAATGATTCTTTTCTCTGAAAGTGCTTTAAGATGAAGATAAACTATTATAAATACTTCAAAGCAGAGTTTGCTACTACTTTTCCATGACAAGTGGTTTTTTGTCAGATACTAACTTTCCAAAATTTTGGCTAAGGGGTGTAATCTGAGATTTGTCATCTGGCATCAGAAATGAAAGGGAACGTACTGAAGATGATTGGCCCCAGCACAGATCTCTGTGCCTAATGAAAAAAAATACTTAATAATTAAGGGATTTTTATGGTTTATTTATGTGAGGCTCTTTCTTTGTACTTTGTAGCAGCTTAATTTAAACACCTTTAGTACGAAACCTGTTCAGTGCTTTCTGGAAATACATATGGACTGTATATCAACCAGAACTCCGTCTGCATGGGCACTGAGCCCTTCAAATATCTCTAAAAGTAATACAAAATTGGTATTACAAAAACCAAATTGATTCTTATTCAAGGTGATTGGATGATACGTGATTCAGATTTGTTACTGCTTGTTCTACTTTTCTTAGCATATTTGCTATCAATTAGTGGAAATTTTTTTTTTTTTTTTTTTTTTTTGCAATGTCACATTTCCCACCTTTAATTCCTCACATACTAAGGCAATTTTTGGTGAGAGATTGCACAGTAGTTAATTGTTTCATATTCAGTTTCCTTCAGAACTCTTGGGGAATGTGCTTTACTCTTTGCAGTTTGTTAGTATTCACTTCTTTCATTGGCTTTATAACCTCTTCTACCAACATTTCAGTTTGAGATACATCCTGCAGAGTATCCTCCTTGCCACTAACAACAGGACACAGAAACCTCAATGTTTCCCCCAGTGAATACTCATATCAAAATTAATTTAGATTTTCTACTGTTGCCTTAATTTCTATATCTTTTTATCTTTCCCTATAAACTTTTAGTCAGGCTTCCTGTTCCTGATGTGTTAGAAATCAGATTTATTATGCCTTTTTTTCCTTTTGCAAGTCGTTCTTAAGATTTTAATGTGTCTTTATATTTAACCTGACAGAGAATATGTTCTTCTTTTATTTTGTCATTTGGACCTGACTTTAGTGCTTTGAAAGATGTCGTCTTTCTTACAATACTGCTCTCTTACCAAGCTGCTTAACCATGACAAGATTTCCTGGTCCTCTCAAAGTCTTTTTTTTGGATGGATGGATAGTTCTGAATTTCCAATAGGGTATCTTTAAATAGGCTTTCTGGTACTTGAAAACCTTTTACCTTTTCAGTTAACACTTTTAGTTTATGCATTGGTGTTATAATATTCTGCTACTTTGTGTCGTTTGTGTCTCCCAAGTTTCTGATAGGCTATTATATCAAATCTTGCTAAAACCCCAACTTTCTAGTTCTTGTATCTTTTTTTTTTCTTTTTTTTTTTTTTGTGTAAGTGGTAATATTTGTTTAGAAGCATATATATGTTTGGCTTGGCCTTGCATATATATATATCATATATATATAGGCCTAATATTTCTGTGCCCTGTTTAAACAATCTGTTTTTCAGATTACATTTCAGCATTTCTTACTTGAATTTTGTCCAGTGCTCCCATCCAAAGATTTTACTTGATGGTACAAAATCTGCATTGCTTCACCTAAAGGATATATCAGTTTAAACCATCTGATTCATTAAGCCATAATTATCAGTATGAATATATATAGTCTGTCTTAAGTTATTATGTTTATTTTTGTATACTACTTATGCCTTTTTTGAAAATGTGTGTGACCATATAAAATTAGCATACACTGTATGTTAATATTGCATTAACCTTAGCATTACTGTTTGTTTATTATTTAATTATTTAACTTTGTTTTTTATAATGCAGCATGGGGTTAAAATGTTTACCTGCAAGTTTTATCTGGTAGAATATAATAAACTGGTCTGTGTGCATGTTTTTCTAGGAATAATGTCTTCTATAGCAATTGCACAAGAAAACGTACATTTCATAATTGGTATAACTGGCTACTAAATGTTTTTTTCCCAGAAAAAGATTTGTTGATTTGTTGGGTAAGGATGATGAATCAAATTCATTCAGTTTTCAAGTTCAGCTTTCATTTATCTTGAGTCTAGCCATCTTCCAGTGTTGCACTACCAAATTTATACAAAGCAGAATATTAAGGAGTATATATACAGACTTCATCTAAGTTTGTTTTATACAGAAAATGTAGCAGTGCTTCACATAATAGTGTTTGTCCTGTTGTACGTAGAATTCTACACTCTAATAAATTGTTGTTTCAGATCTACTTGAATTATTGACCCTGTGGGCTAAACTTGTTGATGTTATAAACTAAAACTGATTGAAGATAAACCACATTTGCTTTTTGCATTGACATATTAAAGCTTGTAGTTGTTAAGCATTAATGCATGCAAAGTTATTGGGGTTTGGTGTGTCATAGCCCTACATCCCATCCCAAACCTCTGGGTAATAGCTCCAAGAAAGGAGTTATTATTAGTGTCATAGCTAAACTATTTCATCCTGAAGTCTTTTATTAGGCTTTTAGCTCTTTCAAGCAAGTCTAAGGAGCAATGTGCCTGAATAGGACTATAGAAATTTTATTTGGAATTCATATTATGCTTAGTAGAACAGAGTAAAATACAATTGTAGTTATTTTGAACAATCTCTGGTGTTGACATTAAGTGACTTAATTTACTAATTCCTCCCACCTCCCTCCCTCCCCCC